TTCAATTATAAAATTACCAAACTTGTGGACACATCTGCATCCAACTGACAAAATATCCGACCAGAGTTGGGATCTGCTGAGAAAAGCAGGTAAATGAATTACTTTAAAATTAAACATTTGTGTACACACCAGATTAATGCATCACATCAAGAGACAACGCCGGAGCAGTGATGCATTCCGATGCCTCCATCTGAAGGATTATGCCATAACCACTGCAGACTGTGTTATACACTTCAGTGAAACTTCAGTCAGAAAAAAAATCTTATTTACTTTCTGTTCAAAAATGCCAATGAAACACAAACATCCAATGACTGAGACAGAGAAGTGTGCAGTGCTAAAAGTAGTGATGTGGGAAGAAAAGTACACATCATTATATGAAAGCAATCTCCGCTGCATCTTCAACGACCCGACCTGTGCCAACCAGAAGTCTGTGACTCATGCTCTGAAAGATAAGCTCTTTACCCAAAGGAGCGTGTGCAGGACCGGTCAAAACTGAAGCAACCTTGAGGTAAGCATGTAAGACAAAACTTTATTACGCCAGTCCACCGCATCAATCTGACTGAAGGTGATGTAGACGTAGAAAGAAACTTAAACACTACAAAGTCCTGTTCAAGGCCATAATCGTACTTATCACATTTTGTCTCATTTCATCGTTGATAAAGTCAAATGACTACAGGTAAAATACAATCACTGTAGATGCAGCAGACGTAATCAGCGCCAGAATCTCAAGCCTTTGTCACTCTCGTACTGACCATCACTCACTGCCCCTGCACGCGAAAGGGAGGTTGTCCCTTCATCTAATGCTGACATGTCCATTTTGTCTGGAGGAGCTTTCATTCTGTGTGACAAGAAGTCTGATTAAGCCAATGTCTTGATGGATTGGAAGCGGCTAACGTAATTTAGCCATCGTGCAGATGTATTTAGTGAAGCAAACAAGATGTGAAGAACAATTCAGGGTGGACACAAAAACAAGTATGAAAGGAACTCGTTCCTAGTCGAGAATAATCGAGTCAAGTCGGCTCGGATTTATATATGTCGCAGAGAGACCAGAAGTCGGTGAGGGATGAAATGATCACAACAGCAGTGAATCCTGCTGGTTGGATGATTAATAAGATCCTGTGAAACGTAGGGAGACCTGTTAAAAAACACAGCACTTCAGAAAGAGCTCATAGGAGAAAATGACTGTGCACTGTAGTCTGGTTTTTATACAGCTAACCATGCAATGTAAATGGTATTATGTATTCTGACTGGATTTATACAGCCGACCATTCCAAGTGCTTTACACTCACATTCACCCATTCATTACAAATCATACATCACCTCTATACACATAGATTTTTCTACCACAAAAAACTATTCACACACAGGCACAAGGGTTAGCATTCAGTGCTCAAGGACACTTCGGCATGTGAAATGGAGGAGCCAGTGATTGGACCACCGACCTTCTGATCAGTGGACGATCCACTCTACACCTCTTGAGCCACGCATTCAATCTTCATCCCACAAATAATGGAAGATGCATTCAAGACCACTTTCAACGATTTCCGTCTTTGCAACCACATCTTTCTGGACTGTAGAATAAGATAAAAATAATAAAATGTATATTTCCAGAGCAAAAGGTTCAACAAAGATTTTAACTATTAATCATTGATGATGATTGTTTGACAAGTATCTCTAACCTATGGTTAATATTTGATGTATGAAACTGTATGAGAGATAATCAAGAATTAGTTCAAGTATATGAATTTGTATCCATTCAAACATAATATGTTGCGCTAAAGATAAAATTGATGAGCTACACTTAATCTGTGATTAAAAAATGAGTATGGACTCCGAAGACTGAATGTTTAGAAATAAGACTCCTTTCCAGAGAGAGGATTTATATAAAATTGGAGAGGGTATGTCACACAGAAAACAAGAGACATCACGTACAGATATATACTCAAAAGCTCAGCAAGGTGCAGTACCCCCACCAGCAACCACGCTGTGTGCATTATCTGAGCAGTGCAACAACACAGTCTATTTTGCCACTTGTTTTGAGTCTACGGACGTCCTGCTGGGTGCAGCAAACACTTTTAAAAGACATAATGTCAGAGAGAAAAAAAATATAATGACAACAGGAAACCAGCCTGGCCTTATGTAAGATAATCTTGTGCTGGTAGAAGACGATGCCAGAGCACATTACAAAGAATATCTGATCTCTATTCTCTGTATAGATGTAGCAAAAAAAGGGGCAGGAACTATGTGTTCACTTTGTTAGTTTTGAAGAGTATTTTATGTTCACAAAATCCAGTTAGTTCTGTCCGGTTGCAGAAAATCGGCAAAACTCCTTAAAGGTCCAGTGTGTAAGATTTAGGTGAAAAAGATCTATTGGCAGAAATTTAATGTAGAATAATTCTCATGATGTTTTCACGAGTTCATTTCATCTAAATTGTATGAATTGTAGTTTTCTTTACCCCAGAAAAGACCCTTTATATTCAAATGCTTTATATTTACATCGAGGGGACCCTCTCTACGGAAGCAGCCATGTTTATAACATTAGTCCAGACTGGACAAACTAAACACCTTTTGAGTTGTTATGACAATTGAAGGCTACCACAGGTTCTTTTTCCTTCCTTGTGTTGGTTGAGTGAGTAAAACTTAAATCAATTTCCATTCTAAAACACATTTCCTACTATTTGTTTTAAAATTCACAACATAACCTTATGGGGATCAGTTCATATATATGTATAAATATATAAAAGGCATACAATTCTATA